TTAAGGTCCAACCATAGATCAAGGTTACATCACATAATTTAATCTTAGAACACCTTTAAGATATACTTTTTAAATGTAAAACACTCTCTATTTTAAAGAGTTAATATTTAAAATTATGCTACAAGAATATATTTAAATTAACATTTTAATTTAGAGAGCGAGTTTGGTTCTTTTAAACCCACTCTCTATAATTTAATGGATTTAAAGTATTTCAATTTTCAATGGAAAAATATAATATAATAATTTAGATGAGGGCTGATGAAAATAAAAGATAGAGAAAACAATAAATATTTTTTTGGAGTGGGAAAATTATGTGTTAAATATAAAAAGACTCTATTGGAATACTTCAAAATATTTACTCTTAAAATTTATAGACGTTCTCTAAATTATAAAAATATATTCCTTAAAAATGAATAATGCTATTTATCATCATAATAATAAATCATAGTGATGTGATCGTCTACGTGGAATAATGAGATTAGACAATTCAATTTATATGAGAGAAAGTGGAGTAGGGAGAGAAATTTGACTGATAATGGATTGTCACATTACCGTGATATATCATTATGATGATAAATAGCATTACTCTTTAAAAATCTAGTCTCTTGGACTCTTACCCAGTAACTAATTGAGTGTGGCTATGTACTCAAATGTGTTCAAAGAATTCCACACTAAACTCTTGTTTGACAAACCATTAAAATGAGTTTCGGAATAGTAATTTTTTGAAAAATGTGTAATTCAAAAATAGAAAAAAAATTTGATTTTACGTGTAAAATATTTTCTTGTGAAAATGTGTGATTGAAAATAAATATGAGGAAAAAAATAGTTTTATTCTAATGGTTATCAAACAGGGGCTAAACAAACTCAAGACATGAATTAAGCATATAACAAAACTCACGTCGTGAGTAAGAAAGTACAAGTATAACGGTACCCCTTTCATTTAATTAAAAAATATATTCCAATAATATTATTTCATTATAAAAATATGATATTTAAATATTAGTTTTTTTCACATGTCGTGAATAAGAAAGTACAAGTAAAGTTCAAAAGTACCTTACAACTTCATCAAAATTCATGTCTTCAACAAAAAACCATCCAAGCTGCTAATTTCTTCGTGCAATTCTATATTAGCAAACATTATATCAAAAGCAGCAAATACCACGTGTAAAACTTGAAATGCAACAAATCATATAGAAATATTCTTATCGTATTTTTATAAGTAAACTCGCTAATTAAACTTTTGTAATCAATAATGTTCTAACAAATCTTGTTCAATAGATATTAAATATGTGTACTACCAATCAAACGAAAATGTAAAAGACTTAGGAATAAAAAATACAATAATGTTAAATAAGAGTCATAATTGTCCGTTTGTCTTCTCACATATCACGTGACTCATCCAAAAGGCAAAACTAAAAGTGAAAAACTTGAATGTAATCACTTATCAGTTATCCTCAAACAAAAACTTACCTTTCTAGAACCAAAAAAAAAAAAAAAAAAAACCCCAAAAAAAAAAAAAAAANAAACCACAAAATAGCAATCAACATGTGGACAATTGGCACCATTAAAATGGGAATATTACGATGCATATTGTAATATTACAGAACAAGTAACAAAAATTGACGATAGAATTTTTTCTCTTTTATATTTGACTGTTTTTCGTAGGTTAAAGTGTGGGAAAGACGGAAATGATAAAGAGGGAATTGGGGTTGCATTTCACTCTTCACTTTAACCATTTGGATTTTCGATTTTGGACTACTTCTTGTCTTATTGAGTTGGTAATTAGTTAATAAAGCTAATTTAGCATTTTGGATTGAGCTAGTAAAATTGATAGTTTAAAATAATTTTTTTTTTTCGAAAGCAAGATAGTTTAAAATGAGAAAAAATATATTTTTTTCAATAATATGTTAAATTTTAAAAATATTAATGTAATATAATTTTTTTACTCTATTTTCATAAATATTATGCCACTTAACTTAATATGATAACAAAAATTTTAAACTTTAAAATTAATAAAACATTTTAAATATATAATGATAC